TTACGGTGGCCAATTTACCATTTCAACTTTGTTGATATATCCAAATTATTTCGTTACTCCCACCGACGCAGCCCCAAACAGTTTCTTTCGAAACTATCAGCCTTTATTCCAAACTGAAAACTGTATTAAAATGATAATTATACTGGAGTGTGTCACAAAAGCAGGAATCAGCAAGTAAGTTATCCACGTCTGTGAGTTAGACAAATTCTCCTTGTCAGCACCTTAGGAAATATATAGAGAACAGTATGGAGAATATGCATGCTGATGTTGGGGTTTAAAAGGTTGACAACTGAGAGCTTCTTAGGACATTGATGATTTCCTTTATCTTGTGACCTTAATCCCTTTAACTCCCAGAGGTGATCAACATGTAACTTCTTCTCACAGTCTCCACATATTATCCAGCAAACAAGTAATAAGATTACTTAAACTTATCAGGTAGAAGTTTTTTATCCTGCTCAAAAACTAAATTATTGTAATTAATTTATAGGGAAAATGTGTAGCAGATACAAGGGAGAATTCACAATTAAATCTTGGGAGTATTAAGGATTATTAGACCTGATGACTTGATAGAAGATTTTTGGAAATAGAGAGAGTTTTCCTGGCTTGCATCCAGACTTAACAATTGTGTGCTATTCTATGCAGTAGCTGCTAAAAAAAATTGTGTTACAGCTTGATTACAGTCTCTGGTTAATAGTGTTGTCTATTACATTGGTCGCAGCGCCCAAGGGCAAGGATGTGAATTCCACATTCTGATTGGCTACTCAAGCAGGCAAGATAGGAACACCTTGCCCACTTGGGATTGCCCGTATTGACTCCCCGCACAAAAAAAATAGAATTAGAACTAAGTTCATAATTCTTGGACAATTTCGGTGATGGAAACGCAAAAAGCGGCAGAATATAGTCAAAACATAGAAAACAGAAATGATTGCCGTGAGTTGGCTTTCTTTCCCAGTTCTAGAAGTCAACAAGTCATTCTTAATTCCTAAGAAGGCGAAATATTTTTGGCATTATAATACTCCTTTACTAATCAAGCTTGTTCGGTCAAGGTGGCTGGATATTAGCTTCATTATTTTTTCGCATTTTCATATTTAAAAGGCATTTGACCACAATTAAGAGATTAATAATTACTGTTACAGTAATTTTCTCAGTCTACTCTAATAACCCGCATTAATTTCGTTCACCAATGACTGTAAGTTTATAGTTTCGATATTTAATACTCCACAACGAATTTCTTTATCTGCTAAATTTCATCTTAAGACGTAAAGATAATATTAATTTTGACACTACCGCCCAAGGACATGCATACAAAGGCACAATTTCTACCACTGAAAATGTTAGATTTCCACGTACCGGGTTTACTATGGCGAAAATGGCAATACGGTCTGTGGCACAGTCCGTGAACAAAGAATGGACAGTTTGTACTTCGGAAATACCCTGCTGTTGGAAACATTGTCGCGAAAATTTAACAAAGTTCTACTTGAGTGCTTGTAGGTGGTACAATTTCAAGGCTACGCAACTGTGAAACATCCTTTTCAATTTCTGCGTAGAAGTCTCTTTGACCTATGCATTCAAATTCGTCTTGAATGTTCTTGACTCAAAGTTGCAGTCACCTTAGTAGCCTCGCGATATTTAGCAGGCCAGGCTGCTACAGGTGTCACCTTTAAAAATGGCGGTCGATTGTCGTCTTTTCAAATGTACAATACTTTCACAAATTTCTAAATGAATGTGGAGGTTTTAGCTCGTATTAGACCACCCAAAAGGGGAGAGCACTACTCTCTAAATCTTTCGGGTACCCGCGTGCAAGCAAGTGATGGAACTGGTCACATATTTGGTTCTGTTTACAAATCGGAATCACTGACCTTTGATATCTTCAAGGATTCTTTCTCTCCACTGATAGAACTATTCATCGCTGGTTACAATGTTTGTGTCTTGGTTTTTGGAGAAACAGGATCTGGAAAGTCGGTCTCTCTTGCAGGGGAGAAAAATTCCAAGGCTGGGTTGATACCTCTGATAATAAATTCTGTTTTTACTCGAATAAAAGGTGAAAGGGCAGCTAGAAGGGAGCAAAGAGTACAGAGAAACGATCCGAACGACGGAGTTGTATTTGTACAGTTTTACGAGGTTTTTAACGAAAAATTAAGAGATTTGCTGCTACTTCCACACGAAGGTAGGTCTGTATGTTTCAGGACAGGATACATGTAGCGTTGGTCAAAATAATTGCCAAGAGCGCTAGCTTTTAGTAGATCTGCAAGGGATATGTACTACATGTTACAATACTAGAATGTGGAATGTGCACCAAAGAATTCACAACTAATGAATTCATATCGTGCAATTTGTCAACTGAGTCACTGGGAATAATTATCCTGTGAAATTCATGCATGTAGTAGTGTAAGGTTTCTTTATTCGGAGTTTCTTGTAGTTCGTAGTGATGCATCAATCAATATGGAGCTTTAATGTCCCCCCCCTCCCCTCCCTGAGCAACCCTCCCTCTGAGCATTTGAACTTTTGAAGATTGGCTTATTAACCACTTTCAAAAATGGCTGCCGTATTAATTAATATTCTTTTGTTTAAATTTAAATTAGCCTTTCTGGCCTCACTTGAGATAATGTATTCTTTTGAATTTTGTACTGAAGAACGAGGCCAGAAAGGCTAATTTAAATTTAAACAAAAGAATATTAATCCGGCAGCCATTTATAAAAGTGGTCTATTGACATTCCCTACTTCCAGGGTGATGATGACAGTCAGATGTTTTTGTATAATCTGAAGGGGGATGGGATGTGGAAGCTTTAAATTGATTGGCACATAAGTTTTGTCAAAGTTTGATCTTAATAAAGAACTGTATGACACAGTAGCCTCACTACACCCTTCTAATTTTATAATCATATTGAATATGTAATTAGACTCATATGTTGATGTAATGGAAGATGGACGCAATGGTGTGCATGTGCAGAATGCCTCTTACAAGAGGGTTGTTGATGCGGCAGAGTGTACCAATATGTTTCGTCAAGCATGGTCCAACAGAACCATGGGACAGAGAGATTTTGAAACTAGAACGACAGTGTTCTTCTCACTTGACATGTCAATGGTGAGTGTACAAAACAGGTTACAAAATACTTAAGCAGATTCCTAACAAGTCGTAAGTCCTGGTAACTTTGAAGAACAACTCCCTGAAAAAATCTGTCAATTTGTTGGCAGAAATGTAGTTGAAGAGATTACAGTGAAAAGTTTGTCATCAAATTGTGGTATCAAATGATTTAAAAAGGGACTAAAGGTAAGCAAAGTAAGTTTAACATTTTAAAGCATAATTATATGCTTTCAAGTACAGTCACATTTTTGTTTTGAATTGTTAATTCTAACGTATATCGATATTGATAACCTGTTTTGGTAGCTTGTCAGCAACCTCTTGGTTATCTGTCTGCTGACAGTTGGCTTACAAGGTTTTTCAGGGAGCTGTACTTCACAATTACCATGTCTTAACCAAGACCTTTATTTTTCTTTTAAATTTACAACTTCTCTTCTATCATACTCTTTAATTTACCTTTTACCAGTGTTACAAGAAAAAACTTTTACAGTAAATCTAAGCAAAACAGGCCATATTGTGTGGGAGCTGTCATAGTGGTGTTTTAACCCTTAAACCTTGAAAAAAAGAACTGTTCAATTTTTTTTTTTTTAACCTTGAGAGTGATCAGCATGCAATCACCAACAGTAGCCAACAGTTGTCACAGACTAGAAGAAATTCAGGTTTGGTTAGTGGCTTTGGATTTCCACTAGCCAGTTTGGCTAGTAAACAAACTGAAATTGTTGTAACATCTAAGTTGTCACCAGCCACTTGGTTAGTAAGTTGAAAAGTTAGTGTTGAGCCCTGAGTAATACTGCTGATTCATCCACTAAGATCATCAGAATAAAGGAAGTGATTGTCAACCTTGGAAGCTAACAGTATGATTGTTTACCAAATTCTCCTTTTTAATACTGAAGGAAATGAGTGGCGAAGAGTATGAAGAATATAGATATTGATACTAGGGTTTTAAGGGGTTATGGGTTTGTTAATCACCTAGCTGTATATGTCACATGCATGTAAATTTGGCCAGGCAGGGTGCATGTGCAAAGACCTTTCATTCTTCTGGAATCAATTTTTCTTTCTACATCAAGGTTCCAAAAGATGGTCAGGATCCTTTTAATTCTCGATTTCTAGTGGTAAAATTACCTGGAGCTGAAAAACTAGCTGAAGACCCAACACAGCTGCGCATGAGGGAAGGTCCTACTTTAAATAGGTCTCTACTTGCATTTGAGAATCTTGTGGCACAATTAGCTGCAGCTCCAAAGTCTACAAGAATCATTGATTATGGGTGAGTTTTTGACTCTAGTACATGAGAGGAACATCTGCCTGAGTGGTTGGTTGATGTGTGGTACTCTGGATCAACAGGTCTCTGTCCAACCCCTGTCTGAGTCATCCCCTTTTATTCTTAGGAAAAACAATGCCATTCTCTCTCCACCCAGGAGTACAAATAGATACCAGTAAACTGTGAGGGAAACCAGACAAAATGCTGGGGGAGGGAGGGGAGGGTCAGGTAAGATGGATAACAGAGCATCTCATTAATCTATTGACGTCCAGTGCGCCCATGTGGACCCACACCCTTTCTACGCCTTGTGACATCATCACTTTTAACCCTGGAGCGTGACTTTGAGCACATACTTGAACAGGTTGAAAATATCTTACAAACGATACCAGAATGAGTGCAACTGAGTGAAGGAGATTGGAGAAGTAGCCAAAAAACCATGTAACTGACCTGAAAATCTGCACGAAAATCTTGTTCCATTACCCACCTACCTTTCTGAGCATGTGGTTTGAAAATCGTGAGTAGTTTCCTAAAAAATCTGTACACCAAAATGAAGCCTACTAAATTTCCAGCAAGTGAGGAGAAACTTCAGGCAAGGAGAGGGGAAAAAAAGGGCAGGAGAAAGAGAGAAAAGTAAAAGTCGTAAGTGGGGCATTACTTTTCAACCCAAAAACTATCTCGAAATTTTGCTTTCTGCGTGTTCCCGAGATTTTCAGGCCGCCATTTTGCATTTGGATCAAGAGGCCGTCGAGTGTATGAGCTGTCAATGGGTTTTTGGTAAGTTTGAGCTTTTGAAACCACAACAGTGACCCAAAATCTGCTCGACTAGCTTCAAAACACAGTTTTTCACAAAAGCTGCAGCCATGACTGGGTTAATAATGCATCTCTCTCCACTGAGGAATTTAAATGGGTCAGGTGAACTTACAGGGTAACTTGACAAATGGTGGGGGGAGGGGCTGGGGATAAGGTGTGATTTTTTTTTTTCTCAGAACACTTCTATCTTTATTCAGGAGAACAATCATAACAAGTGATTGGTGCTAGCAAGGGATTGAAAAAAATTAGAAAAGTTATATCTGAGCTAATGCTATGTGCATGGTGATAATAAGTTAAAAATATAATTGTACTATTAACTTAGACTTATTAACTTATACTATTATGGTGGTTTTCACTGTTTTGACTTTTCAGAGAATCTAAAGTGACCTTGTTACTGAAGGATGCACTTGGTGGAAACTGTAAAACAAAAGCATTGGTGACATTGCACCCTTCTGATAGTTCCAGTCTTTCAGCTGTACTCAAAACTGCTGGGCAGCTGGCACAAGTACAAAATTATCCTGTTATTAATGACTTTATGGCAAAGGTATGTTCGTGTAAGTGTATGTTTGTGTAAATTTAGGTTTTTGATTTGCAGGGGTGAGAAGTGATGCTGGGGCAGGCAAGTCAATAGGTGCAGAGTCAAATGGTGCTGGTCCATGCTGTCACCAATGTTTAGACCATCCAAGTGGATATCACCATTTCACAGCTACAATGCTGACTTCTTCTGAGGCTGTAGAAAACATCAGTGATGATCACCATGAACATTCCTTTTCAACACTTTGAACATGTAACTTCATGTGACCACCAAACCACATGATTTTCAAAGAGAGGTTTAGTTGGGAATCAATCCTCTATGAGTAAATGAGACCAGGAGAAAAATGATCTTGACTCTCTGAGTTATTTAGAAGAGTGTGTTTACTGCTGACAGTGTGATTAATAAAAAGTTGTTTTTCATCTCCATGCACACAGGAACTCTTATGTCAGTATCGAACCCTAATTATAAAACTTCAAGATGACATCCAAATGTCTGGGGGTGGTAGGAGTCTGGGTACAGGAGAAACACAAGGCAGAGCACAGGAACTGAGAGATCAAATGGCACAACTCACACAGGAAAATGTAAGTTTAATGTTAATTAACCCTTTCACTACCAAGTCTGATGAATAAGTCATTCTCCTTATTATTTGCAATACAACCCTGATTATGTGAGTTTAAATTTGATAACTTTGTATTAGATCAACCAGTTATGCCCTAATTGATATTTTTCTTTATTCTCATTACTTGTCTGCTTGATAATATATTGATATTGTAAGGAGAAATTCTGTCTTGGTCACTCATGAGAGTTAAAGGAAAGTGCACCAGCCCTGTAACATTCTTTTGCTATAAATCATAACATTTCAAATTTGATGTTGCAGTAACTGTTAGCGATGCTGCGTATCTTCAAACG